CGTTACATCTCTCATATGAATATCGTGAGATGAGGCTTCAGAAATTGAAACTCACGTGTTTTTGGAATTTTTTCAAATGTCGCCCATTTCTGAAATAATGAATTTATTCCATACATTTGCATCATACTGTATATTATGTCTACCAAGATGAGATTTGGTATAGGTACACTACCCGCTAAATTCCGATTTCACCGAAAATGGCTCCGGTTTTGAATTTTTTCATGATGGAACGTTTTTGTATTGCTGATACAATTCGAGATCAGAATGTGATATTTCCGAAAGTTTTGACGCCGTCTCCATTTTCTTATAGAGTCACTTTTAAGATTACATAAAATTTAGGAATATTTAATGCATTTTTTTATATCGCTTGGTGTGCACGAAAGGGAATCCCTATAAAGCTTTTATGTCAGTGTCATTGCCTAAGTGAGTGTTTTCTTCCTCAAAGAAGATTTGGCTACGACTCTACGAGCTTGACTATGAAACGCCAGCCGCAGCATTGAATCTTGTGCTTTTTTGGCTAACTATTTTCACTTGTGTCCTCATCAACTGAATTGTTTTCACAACATTATACGTGGAATGACCGGTAATTCAAATTATACTATGAAATACAGGGGGTTTATTTTGTAAAGACGAAATTGTATTGAAGTTCTTTGTAAGCCCGTTCAAAATTATTTTAGCTCAAGATTTTTTCAACCATTTCTTGGTGGAAGTTGGAAGTACTTCCTATAACACCGAATTTTCAGAAAATTTCGACAATACTTAATTCAATCCGAACTCTTCTACTCGTCCTATGGACCCGTAATTTTTTTGAAGGAATTTTTTTTTGGCAAGTACACTTCGATAAGAAAGCTCCCGTATGACAATAAAAATACTACATACTACATACATACTACATACTACATACATTATCCCAGATTTTTTGGAATATTCTTTCCTCGTCTCTGTAAAATAAAAATATTGATATTATTTCAATATACGTGTAGTGAGGACAAATCAGATGATTTGCCCCAAAATGTCACTGCGTTCAAAGAATTTTTCTTTCAGAGAGCCTAAAAGAAAAATTCACTAGCTTGTCAGTGACAATTTTGTATTGAAAAAAGTTTGGAGAAGAGAAATAAAGGTATATGGGAAAAATATCAAATTTTCACTTATCTTTGGACGTTTCGGAAACGAATCTGCTCCCGTTTTCAACATAAAAAATGTTTTTTTTATGGCAAATTCGTATTCGTCTTGACACTTCTCAGTTCTCAGTGACAACTGGTGACGATGGGAATCAAATGAGTTACAGGATGTGTTTATTAATTAATCTTGAAATTACCATTTTTATTTTCAGATTTCAGTAGTGAATACAATGTTCTATCTATATCAACTGAACAGGAAGCAATGCTATTGTCTCCATTCAGAAGAATCCAAGCAGATTCCTTGATTTTTCTCTTCTGGTTGTTATCTTTTTTTCCAATGATTTTAATATTATTCCACTCTGCCATAATTATGTTGTCCGAGATGTTGTCTATCTTCAGTGGGGATATGTTCAGCTAGTTTCACTCGCCTTCAAAACCAGTGACTTTTTTACATATAAAAACTAGCTACGGTTAATGGAACACATGACATTTATAAAACTTGTATGACAATTTATGATAAACTATAAGTAGGTATATCTATTTATTTTGAGAGGGGCGTGTAAAATCAAGTTTCAAATATACGAAATAAAGCCTTGCAACACTCCTACACAATTTTTCAATTTCAATATGCCGTTCCAAAAAATGGAACATGTTTAGAAATCGGATTTAACAATAGGATGCCTACCTGTATTCAACCAATCATGACATTAACATTCAATTGTCTTTTTTCTAGTCGCCTTCGGTAAAAAGCTAATGAAGTGGTGTCATTTGTGTCAATTTTCCATATTAATAATAATATAGTTAGCTCTTGAAGCAATTAAGAATTTTTAATGTCGCATGTGTTTCTGCCTCATAAATATTTATCAGCTATGAGGTATTGTTCTTCGGATATATTAGGGAGTGGCCAAACAGAATGAAAACCTATTTCATTATAAAAACGTTTTTATTGCATCCTATATACACTTACAATTTCTACTGTTATTGACCTGCTTTGCTTACCAGGCATACGTATTCATACACTGCATCAAATAAATCAGTAGGTATGTACCTATATTCACATCACCCTCACACCTTCTGTCTAAAATTATGCAATTTTTTAGAGTTCAATAAATAAAACAACTCTAACTATGGATGACTTGTTGATACGAACGACATTGTTCACAAAAGCACTGAACAAACGCTTTCCTAACATTATTTCAACATGTTAGGTAGTATAGATATATTATAAAACGCAGTTGAATATACGTATTTTAAAATATTACGATCAACTAATAGTATATTATGTAACAAGAGTTATAAACGTCCTTTTAGTAACGAGTATTTTAAGCACGAGCGGAGCAGAGCGGAGCGAGTGTTTAATAAACGAGTGTCTAGAAGAGTTTATAAACGCGTTACATATACCTACTATGTTTTTTCTACAAACCCCGAAAATTACAATAACATACCTGCTATTCCTACTAACCTACAAAATAATTCGAAAGGAATGGGAATTGAGACCATAATACTATTCTATTACGAGTTCAATAAAATTGTTGTGTCTATATGGAATAGCTGGTGAACTGTTGAATTAACAATATTCAAATTCACCAAATAGAGGTCTTATGATTATTATCTCAACATTCTCAACTATGTTTTTTTTTTCAATAAGATTTCATGAGTGTGAAAACAGCTGCAACTGAGTATTTGATTTCATTTCCTTGATTTTTCTATTTTAGCTATCAGTTTTCGTCGTCGATAAGAATTTTGATGCAACAATTCAGGATCAGTAGATTCCAATATCAGGAGGATATGCTTTCCCCCTATGTAGGAGCACAGAATACTCAACTATTCTGTGGTAGGAAGTTGAAATTGCGTTGTTACCCCTCGAATCAGAAATCGACTCACTGTTTTTCCTTATTTCCGTTTCAAACCTGTAAAATCGAAGTTTTTGTTGACACACCCTGATAACTACTTAGTTGATCTGCTTGAGAATGTATCGAGCACTACCGCGTCTCGTTCTTGTTTGACCAGCTTATGCAACTCCGAACGTTTTGAATACTATAATCTGCTAATCTTGAACGAGCTTCTTTTCTAGTCATTTGAAGCACGAGATGATGTAAATATTAGCATTTAAATCGATTCCAGCTACCGAGTTTTCAATATCGGACAACTCCCGTCCAGTTCAGATTCAATAAATCACACACGAGAAGGAAACACTCTATTAAAGCCTTTTCCACAGACTCAACGTGTCTTGCAAAAATGCCATTTGTCATTTTGTCCTCAAATACTGTTGATATTTTGTGCCTGAAATCACTATGTTGAAATATGTACTTATTGTTCTTTCTCCAGCGAAGGAAAACTAACCGTTTTTCAGTATTTATACTTTTTCTCCACAGGCTGCCACCAAACAGTGAAATAGTATATTACATAACTATAGGGATTATGTTTCTAATCATATTCGATCACATGAAGGTGATATTATTATCATTATTATTTGATTTTACTTCAATATTTAAATGACATCATTAGTTTAACGTTAACTTAACATTTACTTAATATGAACTTAACATTAACTCAACAATAACTTAACATCAGCTTAACATCCACTTAACATCAACTTAACATAAATTCAACAGTTTCTTCTCAACATCAACTCAACATTAACTCAATAATTATTCATCATTAACTCAACATTAAATCAACATTAACTCAAAATTAACTTGACATTACCTTAAAATCAAATTGACATCAACTCAATATCAAATTGACATTAACTTCACATTAATCACTAAATTGCCAATACATTGACATTAATTCAACTTTCAATTGAAATTAACTTGATTTCAACTTTTCATCAACTTAACATTACGTCAACATTAACGACAATAACTCATGTTAAATCGACACTAACTTTCCATTAACTTGACCATAACTTAACTTGCCAGAATTCAGCATAATATTCATTCATTGGTACATCATAATCTGTAGACCCTGTTACTGTGCGATTTTCGAATATTTCGACCCATGTGAGTTTTACTTTCGAACTTTCTAACTGTTATATGTTGTCATAGTGAAACGAGTCTCTTTCTCAATAACAAATCAATGTGTTTTGTGCTGTTTCCATAGGTGGTCGTAGGAAAATATTATTTTTCTCCGATTGGCAGCAAATATTAATTTTGCTGACACATATCAATCAGCAAAGTATTACTTTTCCTGCCTAGGCAGCAAAGTGGAACCTTTGCTGATTGATATGTATCAGCAAAATTAATAATCCGTAAATCGTTTATGATTTCCTTCATATTTCATCCGAGACTTCTCCGGCAACAAATTCAACTCAATATTTTTTGCCACCTCCCTTATTTCTGGAGAAGTAGCTGGATTCCTAGCCTCGCTACGCTCGGCTATGAATTCAGCCTCGGCAGACAATCTACTACTTCGCTGCCTAGTTAAACAAATAACTATTTTCTCCAAGTGGCAGGGAAAGTGTTTTTTTCTTGCAACTCAACAGGCAGGAAAGGTGTATTTCCTCTTACTGGGTGAATCTTGATACATGCCTCAACGTTATAATACTTTTTTGCGAATGATGGAGGGTAATTTTCTCATTATCATCTCTGATTATCAATAATTATGTAATTTAATTTCACAAATACAATCGAAGGAATTATATTAATAAATTGAAAACAACAACTTTTGGAATTTGAAATTCCAAAAGGTAAATAATTAGATCCTGTAGCCGTTTCCTTCAAGTTTGGAATTTGGAAAATTTGGTGACTCAGTCAAGGGAAACTATGAATTTGATTTTTATCTTAGCACGTCTATACCAAACTGACAAATACGCGAATACGCCACAAAAGTAACGGAATGCTTACTTATTTTTATTCATAAAGGTTTTTTTTTCAGGAATGATTGAACCTTTATGTTATCGACTATGGCTACCGTCACTTCTGGCATCATATCTCCAAATTCCTACGGCCTAAATACAGGTAAGATAAATAAATACAAGTATAGGTACATGAAAAAACGTATTGACATATTCAATATTCAATTCAGACTTCAGATCGAGCTTCAGTTAATATTCTTTTCATAGTTATTGATTTATGTAAGCTATCTCGAACTGATTACTAATTCATGTTGCCCTTGCCTCTATACATATACCTACTCATTATATTGGTGCCAACACATTTTCCTTTGATCCTTTGCATACCACATAAAAGGGATATGGCGTTTGACTTGAAAATACGGGTTTGCTCAGGCATTCATCCAAAAGCGGCAAAATACATGGAAAACTCCTGCAAAAAAACTGAGTACAGAAACACACTATACCAATCAGGTAATCCTCTTCGGGGTGCCAGGGCAGATTGGAGTGGAGACAAATGAACAAGCAGACATTCTGGCACGGAAAGGAGCATCAACGCCACTGATCGAACCAGAACCATTCTGTGGCCTTGGCAACTCTCATTTCCAAGAAGAACTTGATGAAGCTAAAAAAGCAATGAGAGTAACACACTGGCGAATATTTCCAGGACTGCGGCAGGCCAAAGATCTCCTCGGCAATTTCAACCGAGCAAGATCGAAAACACTGATCAACCTCAGCAAAAGTAGTCTGAAAACAATAACCGCATTTCTAACTGGTCATTGTAGACTCAAAGAAGATTTAAGGAAGATGGGCTTAGAGGACACCACCTGCAGATTCTGCGGGGTAAATCCAGAAACAACACACCACATCTTTTGCTGAAGTGTTATGCTGTACACCATAAAAGATCGAATATGCTGGGAGCATACGAGCTGGCCGTGGATGAAATGCCACAAACAGATCTCTTCCAAATCCTCAAATTCCTAAAAGAATTGAGGGGTGCTGCTATAAACAAGAAAACCTTGAGAAAGTAGAAGAAGATGGGACACAATAGAACTAATCAGGTCGCAGGGCATCTTTCACCATACACTGTTACCAATACCAATACCACAGCCAATACCAACAATACACTATATAACAGTTCCATCCACTAGAACTCTGGTTATACAGGGTGTTTCGAAATTCGACCGACAACGCTGGACAGGTAGGTAATCGCCCTCCTGATTTTATATATAATTCCTGAGGTATAGGGACATACTGTTTTCACGTCTCAAAATCTCACATATATGGTTTTAATGGTCATGATCTTTCAGAACATGGTGAAAAATAATAATTCAATTCATACTCTGTGTTATTATGCGGGATTTTGTTATGATTCGTTACTTTTTTTTTGGCACATCGAACTCTCTCTATATTGGCATCAATCACCAGACAACACAGAACTCGCCGCCCCTGGTAAAAAATCATTTTCGGAAATCGAAAGAATAAAATAATGTATTCACTGTTTTTTCTGTGACGGGAAAAAAGTTTGGCATTTCATCTCTGTTGGCAGGTTATAAAATGTCACTTTTCATAAATTACTTTTTTCCCGTGGGAAAAAAGTGAGTACTTTTTTCCCGGATATATATCACATATATATACTCTGTTAATGGCTTTTGTTGTGCAATAGTTCCCAAAAATGAGTCAATAATACCGTCTCCGAGAAAGAACTGCAAATCCTTTTATCTTCCATTCGACTTCGCGGTTTCGTATATTACTAAACAACTACTGAATTCGCAATTTTTCAAAATCAAATCACAGAATTGAACTGACAGAAGTGACATCAGATATTTGATTACTTCAAAAGAATGATAAAGATGCCTATAAAACTACTAAAAACTTGAAATTTCACGTCGATAATTTTCAGATTTCGAAATAATGTAATATCTTCTCAATATTGATTCGTCCTTCCTTCTGTCACAGAAAAAAAAAGTGTATTATACACGGGAAAAATATTAGATTTTAGCTCATGGTGATTATTGTGTTCAGATTTTCATTTTCATATTGATAATAATTGATTTTATCATAAGATTCTTGCAATTAAAATCGTCGAGTCGTGCAACAAAAAATGGTATATAAACCTCTTCAAAAATAATATTCTTATAGAGTCTTGAGCAAATTTATCAATAACTCCGTTGATAAAATCAACTCTATATCTTTCTATAAGATGTTGATGAATACTAATTGAATAGTCTCAGAAAGTCACTATAATAATCAGAATAGGAATTGAATAATACAAATGTATCTTGTTTAGAAAGTATCTGAGTGAAGACCAGGCACTATAGGGGGGGGGGGGGGCGAGTGCCCCCCTTGCCTCCCCCTCCGGACGCTCCTGCTTACAAGGATATTGGAAATATTGAACCAAATCTGGCAATAAAATTGTTCTTCATCGACTTTTAAGGCCCAACGGTGCATTTTCGTATGGAGGCAAGTTGATTCCAATCAGCCTATTTTGGTGTCTAGTTCATACTGTAGAATTTATGATACTTTGGTCTGGGATTACTTGTATATTATTTAATAAATTAAATAATTAAATTCTGTTAGTTTGCCCGGATGGTGTAAAAAGACGCGGTCACTTCTAAGAAACCCGCTACTCTCTTATTACCTGTTGATCTAGCTGGAGCGCGGCAATATGAATCCGTCTCATTCCAATGCCCCACCTACCCCTCCTTATGGGCATTTTTCGGCTGGCATCTGCAAGTCATCTTGGCTTGGACTAAAAAGAGCCGACCTCCCGACTAATAAACAGCCGAAAAAACGGAATATTTCCCAAATATTCGACGTTTACGATTCCGAGAAGTAAAAATTTAATTGTAGACGGTCTGCTTCCCAAATTCTTGCAAGTTTTTATTAAATTTTGTTAAAACCATGCACGTTCGCTGGCCGCTGTATTCATTTGCAGAAATATTTAGACAAAAACTGTGCCAGACCCGAGTGAATTTTTGACATTTCAAAAAACCAAACGAATCGCCAATTCGGACCGACCTTGCTTAGTTGCACAATAATTTGGTGTTTAAACATAAATTCGACAAGGCATTCGGAGTATCCTCACCATTGTGAACACGATAATCATTGCGGATATACAGGGTGATTCATACACAACAACTATTTTTAGTCGCGATTATGTTATGACGACTATTAACTAATGTTTAATAGTTGTGTTTACGTTATAAATAGGTAGTTACTAAACCTTTTCCAATTGTAATTCAGAAAGTATAAGATGTAACTCAGAAAGTATAAGTTGTAATTCAGAATAGTTAATTGTAATTCAGAAAGTATAACTTGAAATTCAGATTAGTAAATTGTGATTCAGAAAGCGTAATATGTAATTCAGAAACCGTCAATTGTAATTCAGAAAGCATAACTTGTAATTCAGAAAGTACACTTATGATCCCATAGTATTTATGAATTACAAGTGATGCTTTCTGAATTACAAATTACGCTTTATGAATTACAATTGACTATTCTGAATTACAAGTTACACTTTCTGAATTACATTTCACTAATTTATGAATTCTGAATTACAATTGATTAATCTGAATTACAATTGACGCTTTCTGAATCACAATTAACTATTCTGAATCACAAGTTACACTTTCTGACTTACATTTTACTAATCTGAATTACAAGTTAAACTTTCTGAATTACAATTGAAAAAGGTGTAGTTACGATCAAATTGGGGAACTAATTCGAAATTGAGTGAACATTTTATTTATTTGTTCATTCAAATAATTGTAAATCATGTTAAATTCCAGTATTTTGCTCTTTGTTATCGAACGGATGATACTCGGAATGATATTTTTCTGCATGATGGTTAACAATAGCTAAATGAAAAATTCAATTCGGTTTGAGTCAACTTCACTTCAATCAATATGGATCCCAATAGAAATTCAATTCGAAAGAATAGCTTTCAGCTTTTGAGACTTATCAGTTATGATTGAAGTCGAAATTAAAAATATGCTAGATACGTGAAATATGACAAAAATATTCACACAATCATTAGGTGATGAATAAAAAAGCGACAATGATGTAGAAACCTCTGTTGTGTTGCAATTGATAAAAAACCGATGGGACAGGTCGATTTCAATTTGGTGAAGGCCATTTTTTCACATTATTATATTCCTTCCCTTCAAGGATCTAGCAATTTTTCATTTTTGGCAACAAACCGGAGAACACTTAGGTGGATCGTCTTCAATGGGCCACACAGTATATTATGCTACTATAGAGAAGAATAGAGCTATTTGAACTTGACATTTTATAGAAGAGTAAAGGAAAAAGGAAACAGGCATATTTACTACATACCTCATACCTTGCCAAGTCGCTACAGCTCAAGTAAGATATCGACCATAAACCTCAAACCATGACGAGTTTTTGACAATATGATGAAATATTGCTATTTGGTATAAACCGAACGTAACGCTGGAATCTTCATACAAGACATGCTCTACTAATATTTGTAAATAATATTATGTTAATAATCTGAATTTTATACAAAAAGGTTTACGTGTTGAAAAGGAATATTCTCAGATAAATTATGAACATCCAAAAATGTTTACGTTCCTTCAAAACGTTGTTAAAATAGGTAGATGGAAAATTCAAAGTGTTATGCGAACTCAAAAAAGTTGGCAGTTGGTATATGCTTTTAACAATGACAGCTTCCCGAAATTACATAGAGAGATTTCAACCATGCACAGATTCTATGAACAAAAATGCTATAAAAAGTGCATATAAACATGGGTCCGGAAAAGCCCCTCTTGGGGGTTATAGCCATCAGTGGCGGCTCCTCAGAGGAGGCAACGGAGGCTGAGCCTCCTCAGAGATTCTCCGTAAACTGATATTATCTATACTCTCTCATAAAAAGGACACCAAAGTACATGGATTTTGATTTTATTTCCTGTTTTTAGGTAAATATTTTCGAATTGGCAACAGTGCTTGCCCACGCATCACACGTCTGCGAATCACGCGTGGAATATTCAACTTGGCAACATCTATAGGAGGCTAGACTTCTTCACCATGCGCAACCCACGCGCGCAATGCAAATGCCCGAATACGCCCGAACCGAATAGCACGTGTTTGACGTGTCGCGAATTGCGGACAATCCAGTGCGAGTGCATTGTTTATGTTTGGTTAATCGTTAGGGGTCCTATGAATTTCTGAAAAATGAGTGTTTTAAACGATTGCGATTTGATTTGGTGAACCCATTCAGTGCTTTGTTTTATGAAGATAAATTGATTGTGAAAAACAAACGTCCGACACCGGAATCAAAAAATCTGATTGTAACAGGTAACAAACAAAATCGATCGTTCAATTCTGATAATTATAAAACATATATCTGGTTGACGGGATCTGGGGTAAGGAATAAGCTATTTTGTTGGTACTGCGTATTATTTTCAACCGATGTCATCATGTTGGGGGCTCGGTTGGGGGCGATTAGTATCAAGTTCAGGTTAACTGGTAAACAGAATGTCATTAAAGCTATTGATTTGCATGAGTCGTAGAGAATTGTTTTTCACAATGAACCTCATATCATTCAGCCTCCTCTGTCATAAAAGTCACGAGCCGCCACTGATAGCCATCTGAAGAGGAGCCCGATATGATGGTTTTATGTGAATATTTTGAAACCCTCTGTGATGAAATTACCAAATTTTGTGATTGTTCCTAACCGAGTTCCTAACTCGTCATGCCAGATTCGGAAATGTTGAGAACTTTCTAAAATTTCGATCATGGGCGTGATAAATAGGTGGGGCTAGGCCCACTTTTTCGGCAGTTTGAGCAGGAAGTATGAAAATCTCAACATCTTTACTCAAAAATAGTACTCATGTTTAGTTTCGATAGCATTCACCATTTTGAAGATAAATCGATTTCAAAACTGCGGTGCGTAAAACATAGTACTCTTTTTTCTTAAAGGATACCGAATTTTTTAAAAAATGTATTAATGGAAAATACTCCTCTTTCAACTTCTACTTTTGATGTTTGATTTGACATATGAAGGGGTGATAAAAAGAATGAATTGAGAAATGATATAGTTGGTACCCTATATTAAGAAAAAATATTATTTTTTCTGTGACGGGAAAAAAGTTTGGCATTCCATCTCTGTTGGCAGGTTATAAAATGTCACTTTTCATAAATTACTTTTTTCCCGTGGGAAAAAAGTGAGTACTTTTTTCCCGGATATATATCACATATATATACTCTGTTAATGGCTTCTGTTGTGCTATAGTTCCGAAAAATGAGTCAATAATACCGTCTCCGAGAAAGAACTGCAAGTCCTTTTATCTTCCATTCGACTTCGCGGTTTCGTATACTACTAAACAACTACTGAATTCGCAATTTTTCAAAATCAAATCACAGAATTGAACTGACAGAAGTGACATCAGATATTTGATTACTTAAAAAGAATGATGAAGATGTCTATAAAACGCAGGTGTCCCTACTGTTAAAAAATTGAAATTTCATGTCGATAATTTTCGAAATAATGTAATATCTTCTCAATATTGATTCGTCCTTTCTTCTGTCACAGAAAAAAATAGTGTATTATACACGGGAAAAATATTAGATTTTAGCTCACGGTTTTTTGTCTCCCTCCGCTTCGCGTCGGGAGACAACACAACCTGGAGCTAAAATCTACTACTTTTTTCCCTTGTATAATAAATAACTATTTCATTATACCGACGAAGCAGACTTTTGAAATCGATTTATTTCGAAAATTGTGAGTGCTATCGAACCTAAACAAGTATCATTGGGGGGGGGATGCCCCTAGATCCACCTATTTCCCACGCCCCTGATCACAATTCCGTGAAACTCTCAACATTCTCAAATTGGCTGCAAAAAGTTAGGCACATGTACAAACTTTGATTATTTTATCACAGATGGTTTCGAAAATATTTACAAAAAAACATTTCTGATGGGCCCATGTTGATATCAACTTTTTTAACCATTTTTGTTCTTAGAATCTGTGGATGAAATCTTCCTACGTAATTTTCGGACACCCTGTATACATTCATTCCATCACAATAACTTGAGTATTCACCGGCAAAATTACCTATAAAGGATCATTTCGAGGATCATTTATATAGACAGGTATATACCAATAGTATTATTTGAGGTAAATAATTAGAAAATATGTCACGACCTAACCCGACCCAAATAATTTTAACGGATATCTATAGTAGATTTTTAGGAATTCTAAATTATTTCAAGTAATTCCATCAGTTTTTTCAACTATCAAGCTCAAATTATCTAAGTCCCAAGAGTCCCAATTATTGGAATTTTAAGGAATTCAAAGATTCCATGATTTCTGAGCTATATATATTCATAAATCATGCAAGGAATAAATTATAAAAAAATTTATCAACACAATGACAGATATACCATCGATTTTTAAACAATTAATTTTCTGTGAGCTCTCCTTCCATTATTATCATTCTCCCAGGTGAAAAAATGGGTTAGAATTATTCATTATATGTATGAAACTAGCTATAGGTGCTTATAGTTGTTCATTCAGATAAAAATGACGTTTCATTAGCATATTTCCTCCCATATACCCGTTATTTGAATACGAAGTTCTGAACTGATGGAATTCGAAAAAGTCATTCTTCAAGTCACAGGTATACAGAATGATCCAGTGTTCCATCAGTTCGAATATAATCTGATTATATGAATAATTAAAGAAGTGTACAAATACACCGGATCTTTCTAAATATTTTGATGAAACAATTTCTAGTTTTCCATGGTGAAACAAATCCGTTTCGAATTTCAACTATACTATAGATGCCGACAATCCCAGAAATCTATCGTGTTCTTTTAATGTATATTTGAAGCCCTCAACACCGATTCCATGTAAATCAATAATTCTACCAATATGCATGTGTGGTTTTAAACTGTCCGGTGTCAAAGTAAACACTCATACCTTTAGTAAGTAGTTGAACTACGTCGCAGTCATTACGTATTTGTTCACACAAGTATCATTTCAACAAAAACTAACATAGTAATTAGCTGCCGTCGACCGCATGTTCTTTGTTTTAGATTTCAAGTAGTATTCCAAGAATTCGAAATTTATACAGTACCCATAGCTATTATTTGTTAGGTATATACTATACACTTCATGATTTTTAATTAAATAAGCTATCGCACACCATTATTTTTGAACCAAAACCACAGAATACCCAACAATCAAAACCTCATTGAAGTTTCACTTCGAGTCGAAGAACAAAAACAAGGAGAAGGACAAAAGGTACATATACGTACAAAAGGACAAAAGGTACATAATATGTATTTTCAATTTTACTTGAAATCGAGCTTGAAATGTTCCTCAAGCAATGCTTCATTATGACCAGATGCTCCATATATTCACCATATAAATCATTAATGATGCATATAAGATTGAAAACATATTCTTGATACGAGATACTATTGATTTCAGTGTTCAAATCAGCATCAGAAGAAACAAAAAAAAAAATTATAAAAAACAATCGGTCAAGATACCAATATGTTTTTCATTTAGATGTATACTATGCATATTATTTTCATGCTATTTAACCTTCATTTTGTGAGAAAATTAGGTCCAAATCGTTTAACAATTATTCTCATTCAAAGAAGTCTCTCAGCCCCACCCTGCTTGATATGTTCCTGCATACAATTTTGGAAGTTTTATTGATTAACTGTATTGAGCACTGAAATTTTAGTTCGAGCTTTAGCTTAAACAAGATTGGGATTGTTCTCGGGATTGTTTTCACAAAATAATGTTATTAAACCTATTTAGACACGACACGACACGAGTCGTTACGATTTAATTGGGCCGCAGTGTACCTATATTCTTGTTGATCTCGAAGTAAGAATTGTATTCGATGCGATTATTTTAGAGTAGTAGAATCATACGAAGAAAATAATCATATGCATTTCCTTTCATACTATATTATAAACAACCCTAAATGAGAAATGTTTTGAGATCATTCATGATCTTGTTGCTTTTTCCATCGCAGATGCCATCAAGATGGCGACAGAGAACGCCGACGATGACTACTCACGCTACCCCTGCTCGGAGCCGTTCGACTCGCGCGCCAACTCCAGCGATTCAGATCAGGAGAACTACGCGGCCGCCTCGCCCAAGGACGAACTGCCGAAGCGCAACAAGCGCAAGAACTTCAAGCCGCGCTGCTCGAACGTCGCGTACTCCGACGCCGAGACGTTCGACGACCGAGGAGTGGCCGAGTTCGACAACAACAACGTCGAAGGTGGCCTGAGTCGGAGGAAGGCGATGGCGACCAGGAAAGTGGCGGTCGAGTCCACACGGTGAGAAATTATACGAGATTAGTTACAGAAACCATCCATCTTACTTTTTTTTATGTCTAAAATGAAACAAATTATTCCATATTAACAATTGGAAAAACTATTGGAACCACGAAAATTCAATTCTTGCGAAGTAATAATTACTTTAGTAATTTAGTAATGTTTTCGAAAATTTCAAGGCAAGATAGAGTTGGTTAAATCATGAATGGTTCAGGAAATTCAATCGTGTTTCAGAATCCGTCGAGACATCTTGACTAGTTTCAGTCATTTCTGAATTATTCTAGAAAAACCGAAATTTTGTATTTCTGTTTTCTCGAATATCACGAAAACTATTGATTGTATGAAAAGACGACTTCAACATTATGATGGTTATTTTCAGTGATTTTTTGAATTCCTCAAGTGTTCAATTGAATGAACGGATATGAAAATAATTACTTGTCTGACCAATGCCACGTAGAACATTAACAACAAAATTACGTCCTCCCAAAACCTCTCTCCCGATATCTTGACTGGAGGGAACTGTTCACCCTTGCAGGTTCGGTCCCATGGACCTCAGCAAAACCAACGACACGGACTCCAACAGCGACTCGGAATACAACGAGCAGTTCGCCAACTCGGACAACGACAACAGCAGCGAGAACGGCGACGGCGAATCCAAGCTACCTCAGAGCTTCTCCATCCACAGCGACATACCTCAGAGCTTCTCCATCCACAACCTGTCGAAGCCGCACGTGGCCGAGTACCCGCAGAACGCGGCGCACCTCAGCCAGGAGCAGGTGCTGGAGATGCGACAGTACGCGATGAACACAATGCGCGAGCTGCTGGGCATCTACGGACTGACCTCTGAGGTCGCGGAGAGCATTTCCAGGCAACTGCCGATGGCGGCGTTCAGCAGTGGTGAGTTTGATCCATTTATCGACTCCTGTTAAATTATATTTCAATTTTCAAGTGCTTTTGAACAATTAATAGTATCTGTTAACAAACAACGTGTGTTAGAATAACTCGCTACACTATAATGAATTGGAAAAGATTCTTGGAACTATTCACGGACCGAATATCAAGATCAAGAATCGGTATATATAATTACAAAACTCGTCCGGTATATTGGTTCCGCCGTCTTGAATTTCTAAATCCCGCCCTTTCCAAATTTTGACAGAAGAATCATAATCTCCTACCCCGAAAACACCCAGTTAACAATTTTGAAGAGAGTCGGATCATAATTAAAATACTCGTCCGCCATATTGGGTCCGCCATCTTGAATTTCCTAATTTTGATGAAAGAATCATAATCTCCGACCCCGAGAACCACCAGATACCAAATTTGAATAAAATTGGATCCTAACTACAAAATCCGCCATTTTGGATCCGCCATCTTGAATTTCTTAATTCCGATGAAGGAATCATAATCCCCGATCACGAAAACTCCTAGGTACCAATTTTGAAAAGAATTGGATTATAATTAATTCCACCCGAATTTTCAAATTCTGACAGAATCGTAATCTCCGACCCCGAAATCGTCCAGATACCAATTTTGAATAGAATCGGTTCATAATTTCAAAACTCGTTCGATATATTAGATCCGCCATCTTGAATTTCCTAATGGTACCGGGATAAAAAGTACGCATATAAATTCAGTTCTGGCGGGAGGCCTATAACTTTCGCATCTGGTGTGACTACTACAAATGACGTTATTCATACATTGTTCATTTGTGTGTGATACAGTCGAGATTCCTATGTGTAGCATGTGTGTTGACTACTTGCAAAATAAACATAATAAGGCAACATATGAAGCAGAAGTCAACCCAAAGCACAGAAGCAATAAAAGATCATAAACTCAAATTTGCTCACTGATAGTCAAGAAGTCAATTCAAATTAGTACCACAATGACCTGAATGATCCGCAAATATAGTAGGCATAAAACAAGGAATAAATAACATAATATTCAAATAGATAATTAGTGAGAAACACGCTAAATATCTACATGGATGAGGCACAGCTTGCGTTACCTTTTATTACTATTATTACCTTTATTATCATCATTATCTTTCACGCAACAGAGAATAGTTGTTAAATCTCGAGCGGTGTGTAAAGACCGAGGTAAAGACCCAAATAATAATGATATCGGTGAGGAACATACAATATTTCTAATAACAGTCCACCACAAAAAAACCTTCGGTTGTGTTGAACTTTAAAAGGTCATATTGGGTCCACGTGAGGCGAAAGCAAAATTGTATTTTGGCAACACCTGGAAGCCCTCATCACAATCAATCATTCAGTGAAACCTTATTTCAATGAAAATTACTGAAACAATGTACAACTACACAATAATTATTCTAATCCAACCCAACACATTAAATTGTTTTATATAGTAACTATCGGTTGCCATAGGTAAAACCACATTGGTAGCTCGTATGATATGTAAGTGTATCTATACGACTCTCGAGTTGATCATCTATTGCAATGTTGTCCATCTTCAGTAAGGTTATGTTTGCAATAACACTTCATACAATCATAGAAGCACTGGAATACAATAGCAGATAGCAGTTGTGGCAAGAAAAACTGAAATTTGACTAGTTCGCTGGATTCCTCTCTCCACCAGCTTTCCATGGGTAACAAGCCATAGGGTTACATTTAAAAAAATTATGTTGAGGATGGCTTCAGCTATCCCTGGAGGGATATATCCTCGATATTGCTTGCAAAAGGCAGGTACATACATTAAATCGTTGACGTTTGTCGAGAATTTATCGAAAAAATATTCACCACCTTGCTAACAAATTGATTCCAGTTAAAGTTTCCACACTGTATGTACTATTCAGTGATGGTTTAGCAAACAGTCAACACAACATGATACAACTTAGTGTCTTTAGTAAGAAAACATTGTTATCCCAAAACTAGGGAATGAGCATTACCGTGAAGCTAATCAACCATATTGTTAACACAGATCAAACGGATAGATATATAAATATTGATTCGATTCGATGATTATCTACACGAATATTTCCATTCTCTCGACTAAAATTATCTTCATCCTCTATACATTTCGAAGATTCTAGTTCCACTAAATCATCGATGAAATGTATAATAAAAAATAACCAGAGGCAACTCCTCTAAGTTTAATCTGTTCGTTGATCTCTGATATATGAAGGATGTTAACCGTTTTGGGATCTTATTGTTTTCTACTGTACCATCTGATTCTTTTTCCCACGATCGTAATTTCTCGAGGATCTTCCAGGGACTCGATCAAATTTGCGAAATTTTCAACCGATCCCTTTCTTAATCCTTTTAAGCACCTTTGTGTGTGTACCTCGCGTAGTTTTGATGGGTTAGGTGGTAGAGGAAGCTGCACTAGGATGCAGGGTCAATATTTCACAAAGGCTAAACGATTTTTTCCGCCTTTTTAAACTTTTTGTTCCGGCTGGCCCAGGTAATGCGATAGGGGTCTAGTGAAAAAAAACGTACGTGTGCTTGAATTGAGAACGTTTGGTCTGGTTGAGTTTATTGAATTGGGATTGGGAGGATGGAAAGTGGTCCCATATCTAATTGAAAATCTTGATTAGATTTCTTATGACTTCTTTGTCCTGGTTTTGATTGGGTGGTCCAAGGAAACGGATAGTGAGCGTTATTTTCACATTAAACTTATTTTCTTATGAGCTCCATATACAGGATGATCAAGTAACTGATACTACACAGGAATCGATAGAACGAGATAAAATACTAGTAATTAGCTGTTATATGAAATTTTAAACCTCTTTATAGGTTTCTGAATTGAGTAGGCGGCAGTTATATAGTTCCCTTTTTACTATGATGATCAATGTCATCATTTCAAACGAATTATATTACTGTTCGAAAGCATTCATATGAAAATGAATAATCAAGATAAATTGCATTCAATATTATAGTGGTAAAATATTTTACGATATACGTTGACATTCCAGTATATTATAGGGTTATCCTTCTCCGTTCCGAAAAATTGAAGTGTATGTGATAGATCTTTGAGAAATATACCAGATATATATAAATAAATAAATACAAAAAACTCAACCTTCCATTCCACTTTGAGCGTAGTAGCTATTTCGTGGTTAAAATATATGCATATACAGGGTGTTCCATAGGTAAAGGGAAATATTTCAATGGTAGATAGGGCTCACCAAGGTGGTTCTGAAAATACCATATTTGATAGGTCTTAGAGTCTTCATAACGGAGATACAGGGCAATTTATCGATTTCGGATAATTATTCATTCGTCTATATGTATTGACCTACCCAGTATATTTTTCTCAAATTTGGTAAGGAGCTTATACTTGGAACGTTAAATTTATTCATCTATCGGGCGGAGTGAAAATCCAGGTTCGGCTTCAGGAAAAATTTACATTTATTCGAAATATTAAAATAACACACTGTATTCAATTATTAACACAGTAGGTACATCAAAAGAATTGTGAAGAGGAGGAAAAACTGAATTGTGTATGATGCTTTTTGTTTTCCCGCCACCAATTCTCATCGTAACAATCATAAACAGAAAGTTGAAAGTATGTTAATTTGAAGAGTATTGGAATTATGAAACCAGTGTCAATTATGATTATTTGATATTTCAGTCAAAATATCGCTCGAAAGAACTCACCAAGTCTCACAGTCTCCATAAGTCTTAAACTACCCAGTAACATTTTCTCAAATTTGGTAGGTATGTAGCTTACTTGGGACGATGGATTCATTAACCTATCAGGCGGAATGGAAATAATACCAAATAATTATAATTCGATAATTCATCCTGTATCTCTGTTACAAAGACTATGAGACTTTTCCTGAAGCTGAACCTGTATTTCTATTCTGCCTGATAGGTCAATGAATCCATCGTCCCAAGTATGCTCAATACCAAATTTGAGAAAATAATACTGCGATGGGTAGTCTAATACTTATATGGACGAGTGAATAATTATTCGAAACCGATAATTCACCCTGTATCTCTGTTATAAAGACTATTAAAGACTGTGAGACTGAGTAAGTTCTTTCGAACGATCATTTAACAAGAATCAAGAATATATCAAATAATCATAATAATTGAAAGTGGTTTCATAATTTCAATACTCTTCAAATTTACATACTTTTAATTTTCTGTTTATGATTGTTATGATGAGAATTGATGGTGGGAAAACAAAAAGCATAAAATCCAGTTTAGTTTTTATTCCTCTTCACGATTCCTCTGATGAACTTTGTCAATTATTACATACAGTGTGTTATTTTGATATTTCGAATAAATGTAAATTTTTCCTGGAGCCGAAACTGGATTTTCACTTCACCCGATAGGTGAATGAATTCAACGTCCCAAGTATAAGCTCCATACCAAATTTTAGAGAAATATACTGGGTAGTTCAATACTTATAGACGAATGAATAATTATTCGAAATCGATAAATCGCCCTGTATCTCCGTTATGAAGACTCTCAGACCTATCAAATATGATATCTTCAGAACCACCCTGGTAACCCCTATGAACCATTGAAATATTTCCCTTTTAGCTGTGAAACACCCTGTATATACTCTAGTTCATATAAACCTCGTATAAACCACAAGGATAAGGTTCGTTGAGGAGCTATAGGGCATTTCAAATTCAATCATCTTGTTCAATATGAAATATAAAACATAACCTTTCTAGAACAAAAAGAGTGTTTCGAAAAAGAAACCTATTTTCCGTTGAAAACGTTAACTTTTAACATTCGTCAAAAATATTTGAGTAATTGAAAATTTCAATTAGCAGTACAGTTCTATATGACTTTTCAACCGAAACTTATAAATAGACTTTCCTCTTTCTATGAACATATATACTCAAATATCTCCATGATATTTATGAATATTATATACTCTCGAATATTTTCATAATGTTCATAATATTTGGTATATTA